TTGCTGATAGTCCTTTTTTGGTGCTGCTGCAACAGTGACATGAAGTTTGGTTATGATTTTGCCATCTCTGGGGATGAGCCAGGTTCAGGGTCACCGTTGCTCATGCCAGAACCACTCCACTTAAATCCATGGCAGTGCAACAGCATCATCAGCAGAGAATCCCGGGCCCTCTACCACCATCCCCACTGGGCTCTCAGCAGCAGCAAGTGTGTTGGCATCAGGGCCCTGCACTGCTCCAGGGATGCCCTGCCACAGCCTCTTGGGATGCAGAGGAGAAGGGAGGGAGGCTGTGAAAGGCTGGGAAGGGCAACTTGGAAAAAAAATGCACAGTGATCACTCATGGGGTTGGATGAGCAAATGATAACCTGTCTGAGCAAATGGATTTCTCCAGCTCATAGCAAAGGGTTCGGTGTCTGTTAGGGAAAATATTTGTTCTAGGCAGGAAATGAGGATTTCCTCCAATTATTATTGTGAATAGGAATGGGCTGGGAGGCTGCACTGGGACTGAGTCCCCACGTGTGGGATGCTGAGAGATGTTGCACACGGGTGGGACAGTTGAGTCCTGGAGTGTTCCTTGCTCTCTGATTCCCTGCGTTTCTGTGCCTGCTGTATTTCTCCAGATTTCTGGGATTCATCTCTCCAACATCTCCCTGGGGCTCTGTAGCACCAGAAGGATTCCTGTTGGTGGGTCATATAACAGCTTTTTCTTTTGCACTTCTGGAATCTCCCTGAACATCCTCACTGTCACTGGAGCAGCTACAGATCTCCAAAGACAAGATCAAATCCATGAGTAAAACCGAATTATCTCCACAGGCTCCAAAGGCAATGTCAATACTAATGACTTAAAGCCTCCTTCTTGCTCTTTTTTTTTGTTTATTTAATACTGTGGTGTGAAGTGACTTGGTAGGATAATAGATATTTCAGAGCCTGTTCGTGAAAACTGTTTTTCACACCAAACAGAATAAAAGCAAAATTATCTGCTAAAGCTGCAGACTTTCAGTGCACCAAGTAAGCACTGGTGCCTGTTATTGCAAAATGAGGACTGGACCTGAGTAAATATTGTTCTTTAGTGGATGAGAAGGGAAGAGCTGGGAAGGCAGATATGGAAAACCAGGGCAGGATTGTGGTACCCACCATGAGCAGGGCAGGGAGCCATCCCCTCTGTACTGGGGCTGCTGCTGCAGGCACGCTCTGCAGCACCTCAGCCTGATGAAGGAAGGTGCCTATGAGTTACTCAATGCCTCCATAGATAAAATTTAAAAATTAAATAAAATAGTGGATGAGTCTGAGCTTCCTGACGTGGCAACACCACGTATAACCCAGCTCTGCTCTGCACCAGGCACACGGGCTCCGTTTGCTTTTCACACACCCCATCACTGCCTCCTGTGTTTTCCTTCCTCAGGTATTTCAGTCATTTCTTTCCCAACACCTCATCGTTCTGAGGCTCCTTCTGTGGGAGGACAGGGTATGTGTAAGACCCCTGACCTCCTCCCGATGGCAATGTTGATCTTGGAAGCTGCACGTGGCAGCGGTCACCGGTGCTCCTGGGGGGAAGGCGGCTGCGTCTCCCTCTTTTTGGGGAGTCCAAACTGCAGCAAGTGAGGTCCTGGTGAGACCTCTCTGGGGCTTCACTGAGCTCATAATGTGCTTGGTCAGAGCACAGCCCCAGTGCCTGTGCTGCAGCCTGGACCTGTTGGCAAGACTGCTGAGATGCTTTTTGGTTATAAAGGGAGAGTTGGTTATTGGAGCCTCAAGGCTGAGCCATTCCTGCTGCTGCTCCCTCTCCATCTCCTTCCCCTTCCCACTCACTGGGAAAACAGCCTAGGGATGAAGTTAGAGAAGATTCTGGGTGCCTTAAGAGCAGTGGAGAGCACTGAACCTGAGTGATGTGTGTGTGTGCATGGCCCGAATCACACCAGCTCCTATTATGAAGTTCTACAGAGCTTCAAAACCAAAGGAAACCCATTTTCCAGTCTCATTTTCCACTCTCCAGCACCTGACCCTCCTCCTTGGCAACACAGATGAGCATTTTTCCTGGCACAAATGCCAGGTAGGATTTACTGTGATGCAAACGACCAAAGCATTTATATATAATGATATAAAGATAACAACGCAGGCTGAAAGTGTTTTACAGGAGAAGTTTGCCTCGGAGACTGATTTAAACCTGGGCCAGGCAGAGAATCCCCCAGTGGAGGTGACATTGTTGGCTCGGGAGGGCTGGCAGAGGCACATCATTCCCGCATGGAGCAGCACCGCTCGCCGCCCGCTTCCCCCCTTCCCTTCTGGCACCGGGTTATTTTCAGCTTTCTGAAGCAACTGTAGCCCAGTGAGCTAACAGGAGGTGATGACAGCTTGGGAGGTAGGGCTGGTGGTGCTGACAGCTTGGAGCGTTACACCTTTCCCGGGAAAATTGCGGCAATCACCTGGCAGGGTGGAAGAGAAAAAAGGTGTTTTGAGCAATAGCCGTGATCGCCACAGGGATCACAGTCCTGCTGATACTTACTCTGGTAGATCCACCGTGTTTGTAGGGATGTGTTTCAGGGAAAAGCTCACAGCTGACTGTTTTACCAAGGGAAGAGTCACATGAAGGAATTTTGCTAGGGATTTCTCCAGCTTGCTTGCTGTCAGGGCTGTGGCCACCAGCCCCTGTCCCTGATGGAGACACGTGTTCAAAGGTAGGGAAAACCTGTGGAAAAGGATGGATATGGGGCATGAGTCGGCTCCTGCGGCCCTCCCAGATTGTAGCCTTGGTCCCTGCACAGCGTGGAGCATCACGAGACCCTGTGGGATGGAGACATAGCTAGAGTTTGGGAACCAGCATGCAAGAAGGGCTTTGTTCTGGAACACCCTGCAGCTCATTCCAGAGGCCGAGCATTTGTTATTTGTATTTTTAAATGATTTTTCAGGTCCTTGCATTAGAAATATCTCATTTTTTTTCCCTCTCCCTGAGGGATTGCCCAGCATGCTGGATTGCAGCAGCTTTGGGGAGAGTTGGGGGAAGAAAAGCCAGCACCTCAAATGGTCAAAAATGGGTCATTGTGGTTGGCAAAGGGGGTTTGGGTGTAAGTTACATTACAGATGCTCCCTGGGTGAAGTCAGGATGGTCAGAAATCTCCCAAAAGCCACCTGTGTCAAATCCAGGAGGGTATCTGGATTCCCATGGTTTCCCTGAGACCAACAGCATTTGAGGTGCCTGCTACCCCTTTCTGTCTGGCAGTGAAGGCCAAGGTTGTGGGGGGGCTCGGAGGGGGCCCAGGGCTGCCTGCCATGGGGAACAAGTGCTGCATTGTGCCACCAAACCTGCTCCTTGGCTGATGTCAGTACAGGGTTTGACTGCCCAGTTTTGCCAGCTCAGCACTTCAGCACGTGCTAAATTCACCCAATAAATAAAAAATGAGTACAGAACTCCTGATGGGCTGAGAACAGACGCCGCATTGACGGTGGTGGCTGATCCACCGCGGCTCCACAGCCAGCTCACGGAATGCTGGCTTGGTGATCGCCATCCTGGGGGGACTCTTCTGACCCAGCTGCTGGGAAGGTAAGGTGAGGGATTTTGTGGCAGCCGGTACCTATAAAAACTTGCTTTCCAAGCTGTCAGAGCTGTGTCAGAGGGACCTGCACGTGGCCTTCCTCCACCAGCAGCTGCAGCAGCGCTGGGAGCACCAGGACCATCGGAAGGGGTTTTCCATCCTCTTGCAGGGAAGGCAGAAATAGTACCTGGAATAACTCAAGGCTTGGGTTGCAGCATGTGCGGATGTGAGAGGGAAAATGAGGCTGTTGGCTTGATTGTCTTGCCAAAGTCCCATAAAATGCAAAGTTTCCCTGAAAGTCAGGTATCTTCATGGCTGTTCTCCGAGACTTGTCCGGGCTGGGAAATACTTTTCCTTTGGATGGGAAGAATGCGCCATGGACCTTTTTAGTTGCTCTCCAGACTGCATCCTCCGTTATTCATCACTACAGGAATCACTCATCTCCCTCTCAGAAGCACTGTAGAGCATCTCCCATCCTCTCAGGATGCTCTATCCCACCTGGAGCAGCTCGGCATGTCCGCACATGAGTACCAAGCCCTGGGAAGCGACAGAACCAGGAGATGAACTCAGTCAAGAAGGAGAAAAATTAACATTCCTGAAAGTGCCAGAGTTTTGTTTGTAGAAAGGATTTGCACTTCTGAGAGGGCTGTTGACTTTCAGGAGACTTAGGCTTTCCAAGTGCCTAAATCACTGTTGGAAATATGCTTGCAAATTTTTTTAAGTACTTAGAAAATATTTCTCCTATGTCCTCAGGCCTCCTCCAGTGGTAATTACAGAGTTGTCCATTAACCACAACGTGCAGATCTCTGCTTGAAGCTGTTGCATGTTCAGCACCCAGAAGACAGACCTCATGGAGAGGCACGGCTGGGATTTAAAAAAATATGAGAAGGATGCATATTTAGAGGGCAAATGCCTATTTTTTCACACTGGCTTGGGGCTTTCAGGTATTTGAAGGTTTCATAGACTGAAGGCCATGTGAAATGTAGCTTCTCTCAGCTTGGGCAGTGGCCAACTCCTCCTGGGGCAGTGGGAACTCAGCATAAGTACCTTGGATTTATTAAGAGCTGATGTTCATTTATTTTTGGCGAGTTCTGTACTGCCTTAAACGTGCAGCCAGGAGAAGTGTGGGGTGGAGATGGTCATGTAACTGATCCAGAGCATGCTCTGGGGGTAGTTTTGATGCCATCACCCATTGCAGGGATAGAAGAGGTGCAGGACCTGCCAAGGATGGGGAGATGGGGGTTTGCAGTGTCTGCTCACCTCCTGGGGACCAGCTGGCTGCGAGTGTTTCTGCTGCCCTTCTTGCTTTCCGTTGGGATGGGAGGGCTCAGGTTTGGGATGGGGCTGGAATGGGGTCGGGAGTACTCTCAGCTCACCTGGTGTAACTTCCATCCCAGCCCAGCTTCAGGACTGCACCCGTTCCCTGTCCCCACACCTGACTCAGCTGCCTGTCTCCCCTTGCCTTTGTAGAACCGCCAGACTTTCAACAGCCTCACCTGCCTTAGCGCCGCGGCCGAGGAGGGCTCCCAGCGGCCCCCCGGCCCCCCGCCCTGGAGCGCAGCCCCCCGCTCCCCCGAGGTGATGCCGGGCAGGACCCCCGCCTGCACCCCGGTGCCGGAGCCGCCGCGCCCGCAGCCCGAGGACCCCCGGGCCAGCAGGGATGACCTCTCCTGCGAGGAGGAGGAGGAGGGCGGCGGGAAGGAGGAGGACAGGGTGACCTGGCGGAGCAGCGGGACAGGCGCTGAGAGCCTCTTCCAGCTGGACGGTGAGATCGACATCGAGCAGATCGAGAACAACTGAGGAGGGAGCGGGTCCTCTCGCCCCGGTGTCGGGGGGCTGCCAGCAGAGCCCTGGAGGGCTCCTCGCTGTGGTTTGCGGGGTCCTGTCACTGCTCCCCCTCCTGCCAGCTGGAGGGGACAAAGCAGCTTTGCCAAAATTTCATCAGGTATTTAGAGCAATTTGTGTGCATGCGTGTGTAAATCTTGAAATTCTTTGTAACTACTGTAGCCAGAGATCAGCCAAGTCGGAGGAAAGTGCCTGTCCGATAGGAAAACCAGGCACAGGGATTGCCAAAATCTCGCCATTAGCGAGTAAATGGCTTTTCCCAGGACAGGGTTGGAGCTGATGGAGCTGGCCATGCTCCCCTGGGTCCCACCTGTGCTAGTTCAGAAAGGGATACACAAGGAGAAACCACCACCCCTGGGGCTGGAAAAAGTGGGGGAAAACCAGAATATTGAGATTTGCAATCCGAGCACTGGCTGGTGGCTACTGCCAGTGTAGCTGTGGCTCCTTTTTTCCTGCCACATCCCGTGCAGCCCCAGCACCCCCTCTCTCCCCGTGTCCCTGGCAGTGCCGTGAGAAGGAAATCACAAGTGAAGTCTTTTGCTTAAATTTAATAATGGCAAGAGCTGGATTTTTACTGTTTGGTTT